CGTTCAGTCTGAAAGCTAGACTTTGCTGCTACCAAGTCGCCTGCCCGTGGAAATCGTCTCCCGGAAAAAGGCGTCAGCCGCAGCGGGGAGTATGATGTTCATCGGTATCTCCTGTGCGATGCACACCTCATTTCAGGCTCAGGACGATGATCATGGTGGCCCTTAAGCAACGTAAGGCACGACGTCACATTCAAAAGTGGAGACGCATCGTTTGCTCCAATGTCAAATGCTTATGGTATGGGTCAATCTTTTGGATATTGGCAACCAAAGGCTGGGAACCATCTTGTGTTTGGGTGCCCCAAATTAAATTTGACCCAAAGCCTACGTGATTCTGACGCAAAAACCTATCGAATTCCAAGGCGGCGACGTAGCTTTCGAAGATGCACCAAGCCCTCGAAACGTAGGTCGGATTGGATTGGATTGGAGGAGGACGTCAACCTGCTCCTCACCGAAGTGAAGTAGTTAAGACGCCGAAATTGCCAACGCAGAGCCGGAGCTCTTTGCACTGAACAAACCGGAGGGCAAGTTCAAGCCAAGAAAAGTACCACCCATGCAGCTGAAGAAGCAGCAAACGCTCATTCAAACGACCTGTTTTGACGTGGTTCGTGTTCAAGCAAAACTTGCCAGTAGGGAAGAGAACCCTTTAGTTGCGCCTTCCAAGCTTCTCCAGCCCAAACAACTGCCTCTCTGTGTTGTGACAAACAAGTAGCAATCACCTGCCGAAATTGACCTGTAAGATCAGCCGCGCTAGCATCCGCTTTGGCATTGAGCATGCGGCAACGCAAAACATCAAGCCACCCTTCGGGTGGGCGCCATCGAGGAACTTTATTATGCGAGGGAATCCAAGCACAAGAAGAGCCATCAACCAAAAGCATCCTGATATAATGCCAGTATGGAAAAAGATCTCCACCCCACTGACCAAGCCGCATGCCACGATGAAGACGTTGCACAAGAGCTTGGTTGTCAATCAGCAAGCGCACCGCTCTGTTCGCTTCATGGGAAGCCAAGCAGGCTTGAAGAAGTGCACCTCTCTCGCCCGCAGCAGGAGTTTGCTCGAAACCATGCACCAACCCATTGACCGTGGGCCCGAGATGTGCCGCCACAGCCCAGCTGGCACGCTGCCAAAGTTCGCACCCTGGAGCGATTGCGCAACTTCCATCCAAGCCCAAAGTCGGCGTTTGATGTGGGTCAAACTGTTGTAGAAAAGCCACCAGAATGGGGTCGGCCGTCATATCTTCAAATGGAAGAACAGCTGGAGCATCCACAAGAGGAACAAGCAACCGCCTTTCAGTTGGAGTTTTGAGATCACCATGCCAAGGATTTGCCTCGCAGTAGAAAGTGAAATGCTCACGATCAGGAGAGCTCAAACCACAATCACACTGCAAGTCGACTTCCAAACGTTGAGTAACTCTCCCATCCACTGCTGCACCTGTCAAGACTCTGCGACCACAATAGTTCAAATCATGCGCCACATTGGCCTGGAATTGGAACACAGGCAACAAACGTAGGTCGGTTGTCTCAGTCGCAGCCCCAACTTGGGTGTCTTGGGGGCCACTCAATGTTTGTTCATGGCCCTTTGCCGAACCTATAGGTGCAGGCTCTTGCAAGATCTTGCAAGTTGGTATTTGGGAAAGCCGCTCAAGGATCGCTCAGAGTTTGAGAGCACTCGGCTTATGTGAGTGACACTTTTTGAAAACACAATTGTAAGTGCGGTTTGCCCATTGAAAAATCTTTTCGCGTGCCTTACAAGTAGGTTCCACACGAGCCGGGTGGTGGAAGTTTCCAATACTATGGAGCCGCTTTGGCACTTAGGAACTTAGCTGGCCGTTAGTTGGCACTTAGGAAACTTAGGTTTGATGGTGTTCTAAGTGGGAGCTAAGTGGCCGCTAAGTGAGCTAAGTGTTTCCTAGGGATTTTTTGCAATGCTTATCATTTTTGAAAACATGGATGTTGACATGGTCTTGGGGTGTTCTCCGCCCGTCAAATTTGTTTTCTTTTGCTGCTTCCTGATGTCGTGGATTAACGTAAAAGCCAAAGACCGTCTTGATCTTGGCGGCGCAAACGCATACGCTCCTCGTGCATCAAAGTAGAAGCTGCAAGGATTGTCTTCGCGCCAGATAGGCGCTTCCATTTGATAATGATTCTTTGCAAGAAAGGATTGCAATTTTCGCACCGCGACGTAGAAGCCATGTGCATTTGACAGACCTTATAAGATTTCTATGCAACACGTAGCTGACATTTGGACGAAGCTACCACGTGGGTATTCGACGCAATAGATTTGGATGCCTTTGGCAAAGAAGCTTTCAGGAGATATTCCGAGCTCCATTGCTAGCACCACGTCTTGCGTGGGCTTCCATATGAGTTGTCCAGTGTACTCACTTTCGAGGTGACTCGTAGTGAGTTCCGTTTCTGTCATTTGCAACAGCGTGCTCCGGGTGAAGCAATTCAGCCGTGTCAGGCGCGGAGCCACAATGGACTTCAACACACGATGCTTGCGTTCCCCAGCAAAGCAATCAATGTGTCGCCGCCATCTGTGAATTTGTTCTTGGAGATGGAGCGCGTAGTGAAACTTGGGTCTTGCCCCCGCTATCGCCCCGTAGGCGATGTCCCATGCACCTTTGATTTTTTTCACTTTTCAAAGAAAACCCGCAGACATCCTTAGGAAGACATGATTCTGCCGGTTGCACATCCCGCAGACATCTCGCAGACATGTCCCATGTGTCCCAGCAGGATTCTCCCTCTTGGCAGACACCGCAGACACACGGAAACCCACTCGGAAGCACCTTTTCCACGCTCCGCAGACAAGTGCCGCAGACATGTCAGTTTCATACTTTCTCCGCAGACATCCGCAGACATCCGCAGACATCCGCAGACATCCGCAGACACGGACAAACAACGAATTTTTTGGGTGAATCCTTATGGTGATGTTTCTGCCTCCACCTTTGCAGCCCGTAGGCTGCGTCGAGCTTGCCGTAGAAGCCATGCACAGCGTCGACACCAGAGAAATTCCCTAATGCGATTTTCTCGCCTAGAGACTAGAGAGGTGCCATGCCACGATCGCCAGCCATTTGCCAGCAAGATGCAAGTCGTCAGACAGGTACATCTGATTCCAACCCAATTGTTCACGCCAGGCATTCGTCACTTCCTCGTAGGAAGCCGGAATCAAAGAGAAACCATGTAGTATTGGATGTGGGGGCACATCCCGATGTGTAGCGCCCCACTGCCCGTAGAGCAACAAGGTTCTCAGGCGTTTCAAGACCTTGCGGTCTGCAGCCCTTCCCTCTGCGCATGCCCAGGCTCCCGTAGAGTCCAAGCAACGAGTCTGATCGCTTTCCACAGGCCTCGTTTTCACAGCAACATTCTCACGGAAGGACTCCGCTTGGGAGTCACCCCAGAAGTCGGGCTGCACCTGTGCCAGCCACGCAGCCGCTTGAGCTGCCGCGAAGCACTGCACTTTGTCCAGTGCTTTCTGCACACCCACAGCGCCTGTTTATCCCTGACCTCCTCGTAGGAGGTCAGCGAACGAATTCCTCTTAGGAATTTCTGCGCAGCTTCCAATTGCTTTTCAACCGACATGCCTGCAGCCAAAATGGCTGCAAAAACCATCGTGATTTCAGAGCTAACCCAAAACCCTTGCACAAATTTACATTTCAAAATCCAAGCTAAATGGTCGCTAAGTGATCTCTAAGTCATGATCATTTAACTTATAGAACTTATATCTCACCCTAAGCCAATAGTAAGTGCCACTTAACCTACCCCACACTAGGAACCACTTAGAGACTTGTAACTAACTTGACATGCCACATAGCCACTTATAAGTGAACTTACTTCATGACTTATAAGTCCCTAAGTCCCAGGCTGGTCCAAAGTAGGAACACGTGTTTTTTTTAATCGCAAATAAATCAAATAAATAGGAATTCAGAATTCACCTTTAGGAGTTGGATGGAGTTGGTATGTTGTTCAACAAACAATCATAGAGTGTGCCATGCCAGTGCGATCGCTTCTTTTGGTTGCGTCTCATCCTTGCATGTTCTGATTCTGTGGGACACCTCTCCGGGCAGCCTTTTCCTTGAGCCACCTCTATCAGTCTAGTTTGCACCTCCTTGACCCGTGACGTTTTTCTTTCGGCGAAATCTTTTCTGGAGCAGCATGTTCTCTTCTTTCGACTTTTCTACCGTTCTCATGTTGGATTTCTTCTTCCGAGATTTTCCGAGATCGTAGAAATTGAGTTCAAAAAGTGCGCGGAAAACACTTCACACGAGTGTGGGAGGGACCACTGTTTGTAAGTCACTGCGAACTCAAAGATGCATGGACTGCAGCATGCCTGCTGTGTCTTTGTTAGCTCTGCGGTTTTGCATCAGCATCGCTGGATGTCACAGGCCTCACACCATGCGTTTCGCCACAACCGTACACACTGGCAAACATGACATGGCCCCTCAGCAGCCCAAAGCGTCATCTGTCTAAGGCTGAAGTCATCTTCGCGCAGCCACTGCAGTACATAAAGGCATAACACAGCGCGCAGCTCGAACAAGAACCCCTTCACTCCCCATCTGCCACGACAACATCCCTACTCTTCGCCAACCACCAAACATGCTGTTGTGAATTTCCTGGAATTCAAACCTCACCTTCAAGTAGTTCCACCAATGCTCTTCTCTCCTCTACTATCCTCTTCACTTCTCTCCTTCCCCCTTCTCTCAGCTACTGAACTCTACCTCTACACTTATCGGTTCTTCTCTACTCTTTTTGTGCCATCCTGTGCCGAGGCCATCAGCACCAAAAGTCAGATGCTTGGGCGGGCTTTTGGACTGTATTGCCGCCCTCAAAATGGCAGCATTCTGGGTAGGGTCTCCATCATATTCAGCGTCTCTGAATTTGCAATGTATGTTTTCCTTCGATCTATAAACCCAGTCTTGCCGTGGTCGACCAATTCTACATAATTCTACGCTTTCCGATGCGGACGGGCTCAGCGCTGTCAAGTTGATACGTAAATTGTCTAAGGGGGTCATCATTAGGTGCCCGGCAATATGTGTCCAGCCAAACGAACTCTTCTCTCATCAACTTTTTGCGCAGAATTGTGTGGATAAACTGTTTGAGAGGCGAGTTCGTGCCCTTGCATTTGTCCACCGTCTATCAATAAAAGTGGTGGGTAGCTACTGAAATGCACATCCACTTCTCAGCTTTTCTCTACAGACTCTGCTCTACCCTTTTCATTCTTCTCTGCCCCGCACTATTCCAGTCGTCCACAACTTGGAGTTTCTATATGAAACTTTCTTTGACTACAACATCCTGCTGCTTTCGCTCGCATTTGCTTCAGAGTGAAGTCACTCAGTTTCACAGTCCGGCACGTCCATCATCAGATAAGGCCCTGACACGATGGTGTCGAGCAACACCAGCATATGTCCCGCTTCCACCAGATGGGATTCAAAGATTTCTCTCAACTCATCACTTCCTGTTTGAGTCGCCTCCAGCGGCAAATCTGTCCATCCAACATGCGATGACGGAAACGCACTGATGGCATGCAGAGCTATATAATGTGATTTAAAAGCTGCCCTCGATTGGATACATGGCAGATATTCACAGCTGGTGTGGAGTAATCCGCCTGCTTTTCCTTGCCCGTAAAATCGTGGTCACACAGAAGAAACATGAGTGAAGAGAACAGGGGCTCCGGAGGAATTTTGGTATACCGAAGGGGATCGAAACCTATTGTACCACATTTTGGGTAAATGAACCACCATTCACCAGCCATTTTGGTGTTCACCAGCGCACCTGGTTTTTGACCCAGAACCATATTGCAACAACTGCCACGGCTTCCCTTTGGAGCCTCCTCCTGGATCCGATACTGGTTGTTGCAAAAAAAACACATCCACAGGAAGACGTTCTGCGGATCTTCGTTGGACTTTTGCAGCCATCGCTCAAAGGCACTGACAACGTTGTTCAAGGAATATGCCCAGCACCATGAAACGAAGTGCGTGACCTTTCCTCAGCCAATGCAGAACATGTAAATCAAAAAAATCAGAACTGGGTGACTGTCCGAAGCCTGCTTGAAATCATCTGCTGCACCCTTTTGCCTATTAGATCCTATTAGCCTATAGGCCTATAGGTCGTGATATGGGTGATCAAAAAGAAGATATCTGGGGAAGCTTCAATCGCCGATCAGCCGAATCAACCGCGACCCCAACGGTGTCAATCGCGGGAGGGTTCAGACATATCCGACGCGATTTTGCGCAGAGAAGCGTCAAACATTGCCGCATATCACAGTATTTAGAGACGTGGCGTGAGCCAGGGCCTACTCAGTGGGTTTCACAATCGCGGATCAACCGCGAACCAATCGCGGATTTCATCGACATTTTTGAAGATTGAATTGATCTGGTTTGATTTGTTACCCCTTGAACTTTGCTGTTCTGGTTCTTCTGTCCTATCGTCTATCACTATTGAACACAGTTTCCAGACAGACCCAAATATAACATAAGTCTGAAAAACAACAATATACATAATGATCATGCCATATAATATCATATTGATTTCTCCTCTTACAGTACAGTAGTTGATTCTTATACAACAAATGTTTGTCTCAATCGCGAACCCATCGCCCATCAATCGCGATGCAAGGTTTTGCCATCGGGGATGTTGAAATATAAATGCCCTCCATCCAGCCAGCCCTGCATCGCGGTGAAACCAAGTGGCCGCTGTGTGCATCTTCTAACGCATCCACAATACTGCAATTGGGCCTCCCGTCTCTGGGACATGTCCTGTTGTAGCCCATGCCTTGTCAACGTCACCCGACCATTCAGATGCGCTCTGCACTTAGGCTTGAAGATGTTTGAAGTATGTTGTTTCAATGCAAAACATGTCGTGAATCATGTCGTTTGCTGAAATTGCAATCATGAAAAAGGCAAGAGACCTGCTGACCCATGTGCCAAGGTTGGGCAAATATCGTAGAAATTGGGATTCTCATCAGCAGTTGCACCTCAGCAACATTGCTTGGGCATGCTTGGGTAGTCCTGGGCCATCCTCAAATCGTAAAAGACACCAAAAACTGAAACGGAACACACGTTTGTACATGGTCAATCATTTGGGTTTGATGTCGCGGTGCTGCGGGCCAAAGGTGGAAAGATGTTCACCAAATACGCGGCTGCCAAACCCAACGTAGGCATCTCAGGTGGCAACTCTGCGCAAACTGGGCACACGTGCACCTGGTCCACACAGTTGCTGGCAAAACAGACTGGTTTTGATAGGTTTTCACATCCACATTTTTCCGTTTTCCGTTTTTAGCTTGACTTCCACTTGCAGTCGGTTGCGACACCTGATGCTGCGGGCAGTACCAGTGCTTTCCAGGAGCTCGGAGGCGCGAGCACGATGTGCATCCTGAGTCTTTTCAAACACAACTCTTGGCAACTGCTTTGAATTTATTCGATTGATCTCGTTTGCTGAAATGGCATGCCGAATTCCAGCAATTCAAATTGTTGAGTCCTGTTGTGTCTTTTCAAGAAACACCAAGAACATATATTTTTAATTTTTAATTGATAGATAATATCATCTTCACGAACCTGCGCTGAAGAAACAAGTTGTGTAGAAAACAGCCGGGCCGTGAACATTGCAAACGGACTGTGAACCGATGTGGATGTTGCATGACCTAGCCAGGATTAGCCAGGTTTTGGGTCTACCATGATCTACCAAGTTACCCGGACATTAATTAAGTTCCAAGAAATAAAGAAAAATATGTACACATCTCTACCATTTGGGAGCACGTTGTCAAGCCAATCTCTGAGATACATTGAGATACGGTATGATACGGTCTGTTGCTTGCCATCTCAACGTATTGGAATATAGTGGCGAACCAAAGGCTGTGTGAATCTATTTGACGATGTTTCACGCACAGCATCTGTAGCCATCACCCTCCGAGTCCGTGATCTCCATGTCGTGGTGATTTTCGACTTGGCATTTTGGAGTGCAAACCCACCTGGGCGACGCTGCGACATGGACGGGTCACAATGTGGACTGGGCGCAACGTACTGGGTGCTGTCGCGTCCGAAACTCTTGCAAAGTTCTTCTCTCTGTTTTGAAGAGGTTTGATTCTTACAGGTCTTTCCCATATTTTTGTCCACCTGTTTCCTCTATTTGTTTTGTATCATGTTCAGGTCTCCGGATCTGCCTGAGGCGTTGCCAAGCAGGATGGGGATGCTGCGTGCTCCACCACACCACGTTCCTGGAATCTTGGGGCAGTTTGGGACGGCTTGGGACGGCTTGGAAGGCTTGGGACGGCTTCGGAAAACTACTAGTAGTAGGACCGTGTAGGACCAGCAAATGAAAAACATTGAAAACAGTGCAAGGTACAGTACCAGGTGCTACTGCAGTGTGCGTAATTGTGGACGGTTTCATTGAGCATCGACAAACTGAACAGGGATGAACAGGAACCATCAACAAACCTGCGACAAATCTATCTGCTAGATGGGCGTCTTGTGAATGCTCTGCACCGTCTGGACAGTTCCATCTTCCCAGGTAAAATGTCGAACTTGCCCTGGTCGAAATTGAAACTGGCGACCGCTCAATTCAAAAGCCGTCTCGCTCACCTTAGAAAGCCAACATGGGACTAGCTTCGCAGTTTGAAATTTCTGGGTATCAGCATTCCATATCCTTATATACTTGCTAATCCTTGCGCAGTTCATCCTGCATTCGGTTTCCATCAGTCTCCAACATAGAAACTTTGCAATCGAATACAGAAAACAGAAACTCATCTACATGTCCATTGCCTGGATTATCTGGATTGTTTGATTACCAAGGGGGAATCCATGATCATCGTGATCTGGTAAGACACCGAAAGCTTCTGAACTTTTCCTCGTGGCCATTCCGCAGTCATCCTGCCAAGCTGAAAGTGGCAACAAAATCATGGTGTCAAAACACCATCCCCTGCCCTGGGGATCCCATGACCGTGCAAATGAAATTCAAGACCGTGCAGATGAAACTCAACCTCAAAAGCATTCAAAGGCCCCAAAAGTTCCCAACTTCAAAGAAAGTCGTCTCAAAGTGTCCTGGAATTCCATGAGAAAATGAGAGGTTTCACAGACCACGCAAGGGGCGGCAGCATCGCCAGCGGATTTGGGACTTGAGGCTCTGCTTCGGCACCTGGCAGTTCGGGGCAACACAATGCTGGCAGACCAAGTTGTTCCTGAAATCGAAAATGTCAACCCCGGAACTCCTAGTCCTAGCAAAGCAAGGTCAACAAAAAACATCAACTCAAGTCAATGCGACATCCATGTGCGACTCGTCTCCTGAATTCAATCACCTGGCTCCACTAGAGAAACAACTTTGGGTGATTTTTTTCCTCATCCAATGTCTACACCCCTCCACCCTTCCCCTAAACTTACCCGACCTTAGAAACATTGAATTATCATGAATTATCTTGGATTACTGATATAATCGTGGTGGATCGTGATGGATCTGTTTGTTTGAGAAGATTTGAGAATCTCATTGAAGCTTCAGGACCACCTCGAAGCTGGCGGAGCTTCGCGCGGTAACAGCAGATGCCCAGGGAGGCACAAAGGCACGCCGTCAGCAATGGCAGCACCACAGCAGCCACCAGCCTTGAAGAAGGCAACTTAGAACGACAAATTCATCACAGTTCATGAGAGCTTCATGAGGTCTACGACCGGTATATCACGGTATGTCTATACAAACCATGGCTCTTTTTCATCTGGACATGCCCAGTCTTCGTCGACCAAGGTATAGGAACTCTTTCCGGAAAAGCCCCCGCCCTTCCTCATGCAAGTGGCAATCCAGTCGAATCATGTTCGCTTGATGTGGTCGCGGTGTTCGCGCCCAAATCGATCGATTGGGCATTTGATATCCCCAGCTTCTCCCAGTTCTCGACATCAACTAAGGCAGCGGTGGTTGATGTTTGCTGTTCCTCATTCAAGCGACCAAAACAGATTATTTGAACATGGCAAGGATGTACAATGAAGCGACGTACCAGCAATCGAGGTTTCAGTGCCCTAACAAACAGGGTCCGAATTTACATCTGACAGAAACAAGTCACCCACCACTCTTCAGATACCTGTTTATGCACTCCTCTAGACGGTGCAGGTGTATTAATCCCGTTAAAAATCACAAGTGGACACCCTCTGGTAATCTTTGGCAATCTGAGATGTCAATGGAAGCCCCATGTATACATCCCTGAACCCATGTGTCGATGCTCTTGCCGTTTGATAAACAAATGAAAATTCCCAGCCAGCCATGTTGAATTACAAATAGTTGCAGCTGTATACATTGTACCCATTGTACCGAGCAGCGACCTCCAGCTGTGACCTCAGGTTGCGAAGGCTGTTGCCAAGGCTGTTCTGTGGAGAACATCTTGCAATATCTTTCAGAACCCTCAAACAAAAATGCCTGGAGACTGTGACATGTCGACTGGCAGTCCGAAAATCCTGTCATGCGGGTGACAAATGCAAAAAAATGTGTCAATATCTTTGCTTCTAACGCATCATGCCAACGATACCTCTTGGCATCTATGTGCTTTTGAAACCAAGCCAAGGAACACTGGCAATCCCGGTGGAGCCGGTAGAGCTTCTTCCACGCTTGCGCTAGCTGATGCTGTCGTCACTGATGCTGTGCTGGTCGATGATCTTGTTGTGGATTTTGTTCTGGTGATACTGGTTGATGCTCTCGTTGTTGATCGTGTGCTGGTGCTGGTTGATAGTGTCCTTGATGATGTCCTGGTCGATGCAGTCGTCGATGATTGTGTTCCGGTGATGCTGGTTGACGCCTTCGTCGATGACGTTGTAGTGGCGATGCTGGTGGATGCCGTCGTTGACTTTGTCCAGCTGGAAGTTGGGGTACTAGACCGCACGCAGCAGGTGCTGTTGCTCCACGAGGGATTCTGCACGTAGCCAGCTGGACATGTTACCTGGCTGCACTCGGCCTTAGATCTTTCCACTGGTTTAGGACCTGCTTTCATCTGCTTTCCTCCCATGGAGATCTATGAATCGAATCTTTGCATGCGGTGCTCATGCATTTCACCGGTGGGCAGAATGTATGATCTCAACTGTCACGATGGGTCACAAGGGGGTATGTGTATGTACTGTGGCTCTGGGGGATTGGGATGAATCCTTTGCATGTCTTCAAAATGAAGAGATAAAATGGCAACATGGTATGGGGGATGAACTTCACTCCTAAAATCTCCCAAACAACCTAAAAACCAGACAGAAACTGGTATCTTTTCCACTTGAAGATGTTCCTGCCGGCAGCTAAGAAGTTGACCCGAAGGTTCCAAACTCGGTGCTCCAACTGCCTCTCAACCTCAACCGGGGCACTTGAAACCTCATCAGAAAGATGTCACGGCTGCCAGCGCTGCTGTGCCCATCCAGGGAGCTTCCTGTCCCGCCAGCTACCCAAGCATCATTGCCTGTGGGATCGACCTGCGTGAAGTGGTCAGCTGGGCATTGCTGTGCTGCGCAGATGCGAATGGAAACTGAAGGAAACACTGATGAGAAACTCCAATCAGCAAAGAGTGACATGGCACCATGAATCATGCCAAATCAACAACTGTGCGCCCCACTGTAACAGGATGAAAGCAAGAAATAAATTATATATATAATTATATATATACATCATACTATCCTCCCAGACAAACCAGTCTGAGCTTTCAAGTCTTTGTAGGCTGACAACGCTGATCTAGCTGAAACTTCCACATCTTATTTGAGTACAAAGAACTGTGCATTAAGATGCATTAAGTAAGTGTTATGGTCAGATACCCTGCCAACCTGCCTTTTGTGCTTCGTTCCCAGCCATAAACACTCAACTTTCTCATCAATTTTATCAGGTACAGAACACTTGTTTCACCAAAAACTTATATACAGTGTACAAGCACCAGCAGGATCCTACCAGAGTGATGGTGATAGATTCTCACGCACCCGTGGGTTTGGTTCTTTTTGGGGTTTCAGGCAAATGGATGCTGTTGGCAAGGTCTCAAGTTAGTCTTCAGGATTCTTCAGGATTTTCACCTCCAAACATTCAAACATGATCCCATTCTGTCGATTCAATCCAGTTTAGTCCAAGGACATCGCTCAAACTTCTGCCAACCCGGATTTTGACCTGAAAATTGACTTTGTAAACGCATCCAACAGATTGAGCAGTTAAATTTAAATGGTGATGACGAACATGGACACCGTAAAGAGTTCTGAAGTTTTCCTCCATGGAAAAGATTCGAACCCGAAGGAGGTCGAGCCCAATCCACCTGTATGGCAAAAGCCATGTCATAGCCCTTACCACCGCGTTGGTGGGTCCATTGGTGGACACCTTCGCCATCAAAGTTCATTATAAAGATGTCCACTCCGCCAGCGTTGCTGTGACCATCAAGGGAGCTACGCGTGTAGCCAGCCACCCAGGCATGGCCGTTCACATCCACCTGCGCACACTGGTCAGCTGGGATATGTGGTGCCCACAAATGCGTATGAAAATTTGATAGAAACACACAGGGAGAAACCCACTTGAGGCCAAGAGTAATGGACGAAAGCTAGCTATGCGCGGTAACGAGAGAAGACAATGTAATTGGAACAGCAGTGAATGGAATCCTGCTAGTTTCAGATGGGTATCTGCTCCTTCAGGTTGTGACGCAGCCATTTATTGCATGAAAAGATGCAACAACAAACTTGTTGGCATGCGTGTTGAAATAAGTAGACAAAAACCGGGCGCCATGATCTACAAATGTGTACTTTTGGAATGGGTGCATCTCACGATCATATAGGGGGAGCTGCAGCTGAACATGCAATGCTTAGAACCATCATGAAACTCAGCTGATTTTCATGATTAGATTCCATTTGTCACTACATTTCAAACTTGCTTGTCTTCTGTATCAATGAAAAGCATTAGTGTGGATGGGGCAACGCATATTAGATGACGCCAAACATACCTCCACTCCAGAACTGACAGTATAAATATATGGGTACAACTGTCTTTTGTCTGTTACTTATTTAAATTCACTTGAAACCAGGTCATCAAAATATTTTCCAAATAAGGTTGTGTTTCACAGCAAAAGTTCTCATGGCACAATGCCACACACTGTCCCAGCATGTCCTAGCAGTGTTTGCCAATGTTTCTGCTACAATCCAACCCTTGCAAGGCTGCTGTTTTTGTTTTTGCTGCTGTTGCTGCTTAATCTGGTGGGTCTGGAAAAACCTGGTGCGGAATCGAGTTCATGTGAAAGCGTCGCGTCATTTGCGGTTCCAGTCCCGCATCCAAAAGCATTGCTGAAGCAGATTCACTTCAGCTGGCGGAAGCTAGCTTTCGTGGATCAGCAACGAGAAAATCAAACATAAACCAAACATAACCAAACCATACCAAATGGTTAACTGCGTACCCCAAAGTATCAGAACGAAAGGAAGAAATCAGCCAACTCATATGAACTCAGACGTGGCACTCAAAAATTTCAATTGGCTGACAACCCTGCTCTAGGTGAAACTTGCACAGCTTAAGTGCTCGTTCTGGGCCTGGGTTCTGTTGGCATCCTCTGCTCAGATGCAATGTTTGCTTCAGTCTGGAAATTGACTCAATGATTCCAGTCCGGTCCAACCAATAAACCATGTAAAGTACATGCAAAAGACATCAAAAGACCAAAGATTTTTAAAAAAAGATAACCGAAACACCCACGCACACTTTGTACCAACCGGATCCAACCCGAGGCAAGGTAAGAGGATCTTAAAAATGAGTGGGACTGGATTTTTTTCAAGGTTTCGCCATGCAAGGACACTTTCAGAAGAGTCAGCAAATGTACGGGGATTTTGACAATGTCATGATTCCAATGGATAGCCCCTCTATATATATATATATTACAATTATATTACAATATTGTATTGTGTGTATTATATTGAATGGAAAAGCACAACATTCGGCGCACTTCGATTAGTCTTGGTAGGCCCACATCAATTTTCAAGAAAAACATCAACACCATCCTCCTGGAAAATGTCACAATCAAGATATCGCAAGAAAAACCACGTCGCACCCAATCCGCCTGCAGGCCATGAGCATAGTCAAAGTCCTCACCCCCGCGCTGGCGCGTCCACAGGTGGACTCCTTGGGCATCGAATTTCATGAGGAAGATGTCCCAGCTGCCTGCGTTGGTGTGCCCATCCAGTGAGCTTGTTGTATAGCCTGCCACCCAGGCATTTCCAACGGCGTCCACCTGTGCAAAGATAGACAGTTGAGCTCTCCAGTGCGCCGCAGATGCGCGTGGAAATTGAAAGAAAAACTGAGGGAGAAGCCCATAAGACAGACAGGGAATAACAATGATAACGCCAAACCATTGCAAATGCAAAAACGATGAAAAACACTGAAAAAATATGAAAAACTGCATGCCTCATCGTGTCAGGATGAAACCAAGAAATCTCAAATCAACTCCCATATCAACACATACAAAGTGGTCTCAAATGTCCGATCTTTTCTCGGATGACAACGGTGCTCTAGCAGAAACTTGTACATCGTAAGGTCGTAAAGTACAGCATCGAGTGCTTTTATGAGTTCCAAAAATTCAAGACATGACATGATCCTACCCTGTCCATTTAGTCCCGGATTGGTCTAGAGTCTAAAGTCTACAGTAATCGCTCAAACTTCCACGAGATACTTCGCGAGATACGGGATATATGAGATATCGACCTTGTATGGGCACCCAACAGATTGATTCATGTAAGTGGTGATGCCACTCCACATGACTAGGAAAATGGACCTCGCAAGAGGATCTAAAGTCTAAAGTTTTTCCATGATTTTCCTCCATGGAAAAGATTCGAAAACGAAGTTGCACCCCGTCTAATTGCCTGAAGGGCGTAAGCCATGTCTGACATCTTACCACCTTGCTGGCGAGTCCACAGGTGGACACCCTGGGCATCGAATTTCATGAGGACGACGTCATCACTGCCCGCATTAGTGTTACCGTCTAGGGAGCTATACGTGCAGCCTGCCACCCAGGCATTGCCAACATCGTCCACCTGCGCCAACTGGTCAGCATCACACCACATAGTCAACTGATGTCAACTGCATGTCCCACTGTATCAGGACATGACCGAGAAATCCAGTGAACTCGAATGAAAACAACTCAACTCAAATAGTGGTCTCTAATTCACATTTTTGTAGGCTGACAATGCTGTTTTAGCTTGGACTTGCACATCTTACAGCTTAAGGTACATGTACAACCACATCCAACCTGTGTGAAGGTGAGAGACTTACCAAGGAAAGTGCATCGAATTCAAACATTTCAAATTCTCGAAACCCTCGGGTCGGCCCTCGGGGTATCACCTTTTTGAAGGCATCAAGATTGATCCGCACACTGTGATGCCATTTGACCTGACTCGGAACATGGACCTCGCAAGAGGATCTAAAGTTTTCCTCCATGGAACAGATTCGAAAACGAAGTCGCACCCCGTCCGCCTGAAGGGCGTGAGCAAAGTCACTGCTCTCACCCCTGCGCTGGCGAGTCCACTGGTGCACGCCCTGGGCATCGAATTTCATGAGGAAGATGTCCTTTCTGCCCGTGGTGGTGTTACCGTCTAGCAAGCTATACGTGTGGCCAGCCACCCAGGCATTGCCAACTGCATCCACCTGTGCAAAGACAGACAGTTGAGTTTTGCAGTGCTCCACAGATGCGCATGGAACTTGAAAGAAATCCAAGAAACCCGCACAGATCGAATATGACACTAAATCAACAACTGCGCGCGACTGTATGAGGACGTGACCCAGGAATCCAGTGAACTCAAATAAGAACAGCTCAGATAAGTTTCCACAAAGTGGTCTCAAAGTGGTCTCATATCTACGCTCTTTTGTAGACTGACACTGCTCCAGACGAGACTTGCCCATCTCGAGCTACAAATTGTTTTGACGAGTTTTTGCATGTATCAGAAATTGCCAGTAGTACCCGCACGAGGAAGGGCGGAAGTTGCCTTAGGGATATACTATAATTTTGACAAAACGAGCCAGCTACACATTGGAAATCCTTTAAAAAAAAAAATCATTTTTTATCATTTTGATTATCATTGCATTTATCATTTTTTTTATAAGTTTTTATCATTTTTTCATCTTCATTTTTTATCATTGTCTTTATCATTGTTTTTTTCATTTTTTTCATTTTTTCATTTGTGTTTTCATTTTTTATTTGTTTTTTCATTTGTAGTTTTTTTGTTTTTCATTTATTGTTCTTGTTTTTTTCATTTTTTATTTTTTTTCTTTTTATTTGTGTTTTTCTGCAGTTTTCATTTCATTTAAAAGTTTTTCCCATTCTTTTGCAACCATTTGTTTCATTTTATGTTTTACTTATCCCAGTTCTGCTGCGTGCATTATTATTTTTATATAGATGTTTCTAATATGTACATATGCATGGCATTTCCCACCAAACCCACCAAAAATTACCCACCAAACAATGGGGAAGGAAAAAAAATGAAGAAGTGATTACAGTTTGAAGACTACACTGAAAACAAAATGAAAAAATGAAAAAATAATTTTAAAAAAAAAACGAAAAAAATGAAAAAAATGAAAAAAAAAAAAAACTAGAGTTTTTGGATTTTTTGGATTTTTCTGATTTTTCTCAAAAATCACTCCAAAAGCTCCTCATTTTGACCTCCCTGGGCCTCCCTTCTGGCCTTCCCTAGCCCTAGCCCTAGTCTGGCCATGCTCCTCATTTTGACCTCCTTGGGGTTCCCTTCTGGCCTTCCGTAGTCTGGCCATGCCTGCCTCCAGGACCCAAAATGGAAAACACAGATCAAAGAGTGGAAGAACCAGCTTGGAGCCATTGGGTCTTGGTATCGTTTGCGGATAGAAGAAAAAACAACACAACCAATATTTAAAAAAACACAAAAATGAAAACAAAACTGATAAAAAATGAGAAAAAAACGGAAAAAATGAAAACCATGAAAAAAATGAAAAAAAAATGAAAAAATGAAAAAACATGATAAACAAATGAGAAAAAAAATGAATAAAAAATGATACCTGAAATGATAAAAAAAAATGAAGACGATAAAATCCGCCGACCCCGGCCGACAGCAAGGGGGAGCGCGTCAGGGAAGAGAGGTTGTGGACAACAACAAATACAACAACGGGTCTTGGGAAGCTTTCCAAAGTAGCAGCAGCAGTAGCAGCAGCAGAGCAGCGGCAGTGGTAGCAGCAGCAGAGCAGCGGCAGCAGCCAGTAGCCAGCAGCCAGTAAGCAGGCAGGAGGCAGCCAGGACTCAGCAGCCAATAGGCAGCAGCCAATAGGCAGCAGCCAATAGGCAGCAGCCAATAGGCAGCAGCCGCCAAGCAGCCAGTAAGCAGGCAGCAGGCGGCCAGTAGTCAGCAGCCAGGTCAGCAGCCAGTAGGCAGCTGCCGCCAGCAGCTGCAGCAGTTGCATTCTCTGGGGGCTCTTTTGAACAGGCGGCAGCAGCAGCAGCAGGAGGCTCAGGT